TGAACACACACACACACACACACACACACACACACACACACACACACACACACACACACAAAGCTCTCTCTGATTGAAACACACACTACGTGGACATATTTAAAAATCACAGTCACATATACACGCAAGCTCTCTGCTTAGGAGCCAATGTTAATATCATGCTATTATCATATGAATATACACACATACACCACTTTTCTCCCAGTTAAACTGAACTCAACACACCAAAACTAACACACACTTTTAATCTTTTCAGCATTCATCCTGTTCTTTATTGGTGCTGGGCTCCACTGGGGGTGTTCGCGTTTGTTCGCTCCACACTGGTGTTGTTGTCCTTTTTCTCTGTTTACTACAGCATGTCAACTCGCAGCGAGGTGGATGTTAGTTCAGTGTCTCTTGGGTTTGTAGGAATGGAGACGAGTTGCAAGCCGTGGCGTGGCAACAGCCAGTAAAAAAAAAAAATGCCTTAGCTAGAGTCTTAAAACACACACTGTCACGTAATATGTTCAATATTTTATCTGCTTTTATAGAGGTAAAGGTTTTTTCTTTGGCAGAAGAGGGAGAGAGAGAGAGAGAGAGAGAGTGTGTGTGTGTGTGTGTGTGTGTGTGTGTGTGTGTGTGTGTGTGTGAGGAAGTTTAGGAGGTGCACTCCACTTTTAAGTCCCATGACTTGGTGTAAGTTTCCAGATCCTGCACAGTACATGTGTTAGCTGATGGTGCTAATGGTGTTAACAGTGGTTTGTTAGCAGGCTAACAAACCGACACCCTGTAATATAAATACAAAATCATGTACGATGGTAGTGACATCACCAAGCTCTGTAATTCCCCTCAGCTCCACTGAGCAATTTAACATAGTTTAGCTCCTTCTTTGGTACTACAGCACACAACTTTACTGTTTTAGTTCACTCTTAGTTAGCACCTAGCTGGTCAACACAATGGAGCACTTAGCTGTTAAGAACTAAAATATTATAGTCAGTTGTCAGTTGAGAATACAGCACTGCAGGGATGACGTATTTTTGTTGGCCAACCTGTATGTTAGCATTACGCTGGTCCCCTCAACAAAAAGCCAATGGGACTTTTACATATAGCAGACAATACACTCTGTGTTCATAACACTGACTCATTTTGTTCAGCAGGATAATCCTCACAAATAAACATAAATAAACTAAATACAATCAGCAAAAGTAAAAAGTTAATGTTAGGCTATAAACTAACTACACCACAGTCACATGACTTCAGCGTCACCTCCACTAAACTTCAGATTGTAGAGAGTACTTGTACAGAGTTAGTAATAGTTTGTAAGTATAGTATAGTGTGGGTATAAACACAGCGAGGCTGTAAAGGTGGACTGTTGAGTAGATCAATTTTCATGTTCAACGTGATGACCTTTAACATCCCTGACAACCTCTGCAGTCTCATTTAGACACTTGTTAGCAACCGTCATTTTTTACGACACTTAAAACTTAAAGAAATCAGTACTGGGGCATTAACTGACATATTTTATGTTGTAGAATAAAACATGAAAATGTCCTGAGCTTGTGTTAACCACAGACCTTATTTAAGGTGCTGAAATGAGGTCTGATAAACTCACCAGATGAATCTCAGGTGATAATTAAAACAACCTGATTTAATTGCACAATACTGTATCTCATTCATTCAAATGCAAGTGTGATTCCTGTTGTATTATTTCACTGAGCGATTTGCCTTTCATAAACACAATAATGGGATTAGATTATTCTTCATACAGCGACAGTTTTGTCACAAAGAAGACAAAAAACAGAATCCAGCGTTGTCAAATAAGATAAACTCATACTTCTGTGTGCAACTTCATTGAAACTCAGTTTACTGTCTACCTTTCTCTTGCACAGTCTTTGGGGGAGACATGATGTCTTTTATTAGGTATGTGCCGAATTTGACTGTAGCCAGACTGAAAAGCTAATGAATCATTTAAACAGTTAATGTCAATCCCTGTACCTACTTTATCTACTACTACTTTTACTCTCAACCAGTTTTGTCAAGTAATTGTATCAATCTATCTTTTTTATTTTCCTGATTTCACTCAAATGAATAAAAGACGATTCAGGCCTGTGTTTCCAGTGACTGGTGAACAGTGCTAAGATTAGACGAAAGGAGTGGAGCCTGGGTGGAGTGGAGATTATAACTTGTGGGAAAAAAATACTGATATTGTGTTTTGAGCAAGAGGTTTTCAGTTATCAGCCATCTCCAAATGCTTCAGTATTTTCTTCAGCTTGTGGCTAAGGTGGTGATCACAGAGTGATAGCATCAGTATAAGGTCTCACAGGGGAAACTAAATGGCTTTTAGTTTCCCCTTGGAAAAACAGTCTGCTTGTCCTTGTTTCCCTGCACTGTACCCATCACGCACGTGTCTGCTGTGTGTGCCTGGATGTGTACATGTGTGTGTATGTGTGTGTGTGAGAGAGAGGATGCTGTCATCTTTACACGGGATCACGGGATCCTCTCCCTCTCTGTTTTTACCGCTGCAGAAATCCACCCATCTGTCGCTACTAATCAGCAGAGAGCAGCTTGCATGTTCACAGGGTTTTATACCAGGATGACATGTCTCTCTCTCTCGCTCTTTTGCTCTCTCACTCTCTCTCACACACACACACACACACACACACACACACACACACAAAGATTACACTAATAGTGACACAGCAAAGCAAACCACAGCATCACATGCCCTTCTAGCCAATACTCATTAAAACACCATGCTGTAATTTTGTTTATCTGTGCATCTCTTTTCAAAGCGATTTCAAAGTCATTTTAAAATTTTATAGCAGCTCTTATCATTTTTTCTATATTAAAAATGGAATTAATGACTATGTAAAATGTGAAAGGAGTTTCTCATAGTGTCAAACCCACAAAAAATGATCAGGTCAATTATTATCAGGTCATTGTTTTGATTTTATGGCTCACACCTTCACTGTTTTGTACCCATTGTACAGTATCTGCTCAGCAACAAGTAGCTCACAGACAAACTTAGCAGCCAGCTGGTGAACATAGTGGAGCATTTAGCAGCCAAAGAGGAGGTGGTGGAGACTAAACCAGGGCTCAAAGGAAAGAGAATCACATTGGTTTGGTGACCAGAAACACGACTCAAAATAAATGCTAATTTCGATACCATATGTAATTGCTGGGTGTGTAATAGCTACTGTTTGTTAACTAAGTGGCAACATCCGGGTCTGAAAAATTAGGCCAACAAGTGCCAAAAATTGCAGTTCTTCAAATTGCCACTAAAGTCCGGCTCCAAAAGCAAGTCAATCCCCACAGACTCCCATGTTAAAATGTCCAACTTTACAGCAGAAAAAAACAAATTTACAGCCTGGTACAAAATCAGTTTTGGTCTCTGTAGTTAATTTCCACCTTCATGGCAACTGTACAGGGGTGAATTATTATATAACTCACCTGTTTACATATTATGAAGTCTTACATTTGCATAATTGAGGGCGTGGCCACAGGTGACAGGTGGGTGAGTGTATGGTTGCACCTATCTCAGCTCCACACACGCCCCACCTTCTTGCCCATTTTTGGATTAGCCAGGAGTTAGGGGCAGAGTCAGACACTGCCAAGATGGCGATGGTGGAGCAGCTCACTCTGAGCTTCAAAACCCGTTCTTCAGAAACCTGTGGGTGATGTCACGGAGGCTACGTCCATCTTTATTTACAGTCTATGCTACTCACACATCTGCCACATCAATTTTACAATGTGGAAATGTTGTATTGTTGCCAAACTGTAGCTTAGTGTGCCTGACTGGTCTCATTTGTTTTACCGAATGTTTGCTTCTGTTAGTGATTCAAGTGAAGATGCATCTTACAACATATAGTAACATATAGTACATTGCACTTACTAATAGAGCATGATTCAGTAAAGTGAGTTTTAAAAGCCAGAAATCTCAACAGCTGAGTCATCAGCACTGATCAATGACCCTGTCATACCCCACAGATATGGTAATTTAGTGATAAGGCGCAGAATTAACCCTCACCTATATCCCACTAAAGTTCTCTCAGAAAAATATGGGATGCTTTGCGCACCTAGCGATGCTGTAGGTTTACATGCGATTTCCTGAGAGCCTCAAAAATCCCTGCAGCAGAATCTAACAATAGCTGCTGTATCACGAGACCTCTCGGAGGTATTTGCGTATTGTAGCATGAGGAAGATAAAAATAGTTTCTTTCTGTCCCTTCTCTCTCTCTCTGTCTATCCAGTGTAACTTCTAATCTCAGAACAGAGACTCTGGCCCACGCTGAGTCTGTTTGACAAGAAAGCGGAAGAGAAGAAACAAAAAACAAAGAGAGGAAAGGGTGGGATAGAAAAGAAGAAAGATGCAGATGGAGACAAGGGGGAGGGAGACTAGACACTTTAAATCTTTGACATTGTTAAACAGTTACAGCTGTTGGTAATGATGACAATGAGACCTCACTTCCAGATATTCTGAAGCTGTAAATGTCTCTCAGAATAAAGCAGGGGATTATTTCTGGAGGTGTCACAATCCACCAGTTATTAACAATGATACACAGAGAAATCTTTAGTAGAAAATCCAAAAAGATCAAGGTCTATACCCAGCTGCATGAAACTGACACAACAAAGGAAGAAGGTAGGCAGCTCTGTAACCATGAAAAGTCATGTCTGCTGTTTCTACGGTGATAAACTTGCCTGTAGAGTTACAGATTCACTCAAAAAACCTGCAGCAGATTACAAGACAGCACTCATTTTTTTGTAGTTTCTTAGAAGTTTCCCCTGAAAATGAAAAAACTACACACTAATAAAACTTTTATTCTAAATAGGAACAGGTTGACACATGGTGAAATATGCTTATATACGCTCATGCAGAGAGGTAGACGAGAATATTGACGCCACTTCTCCAAGAAAAGATGGCCACACCCGAGGCTCCAATGATGTTTTTACAAATTAATCAAAACCACAATTTCTCTATTGACCTATGAAGTCACCTGCTGTTTTTGTCTCCTCTCTCCTCAGGTGTGTCCTGTGTCTCTGTCCTCCCACCACGCCGGGGTTCCTTCTACGTTGAAAGTGGCACAGGCGTGTCGGTCGGCAGCGTGCTGACCTTCTGGTGCAGAGAGGGATACCAGCTGGTCGGCAGCGACAAAATCTACTGCACTGTCAGGAATGGCAAACCACAGTGGAGCAACTACCTACCTGTCTGTGAAGGTAAGCAGGTTTACTGGACTTATAACGCAATGCGAATGAGCCATCTTCTTAAAATATGTGAGCCTTTTTTTAAAGAGGACCTGTCATGCTTTGCCGAGTTTTCACTTTCCTAAAGTGTGTAATAGCTTTTTGTGCATGTAAGTGGTCTACAAAGGGAGTACCTCTGTCAGCGCACTTTTCTCATTTGCATGAAATGCCTTGTTGCGGGTCCAGGCCTTACATTCTGGACCTACTGACGTCATTACGTCCCTCAGTGCTGCCCACCTGCAGGCTGGACACTCCCTGCAAGCTTGGCACGTAGCAAAGCACGCGACTACTTAAAAGGAAAGCCAGGATTTTTGTTGTTTGTTGCTGTTTGTTTGTTTGTTTGTTTGTTTTGTAGCCATGCTGAAAAGACACTGTGTTTTCAATTGCCTGGAGAAATCTACTTTGTACCACAAATAGCTCAGTGGCTGAATTAATTTTTACCACAGTTCCCTTCACTTTTGCAAACATTTTAGCAGGAGTGGAAAGAGAGCGGAAAAATCACACTGAAGTACAAGTACATGTACTCAGATACAAGTACAAAGTACGTCAGTTAAAATGTTCTTGAGTAAATGTTACAGCCTTACATTTTTAAAAGGGGGGAAGAGGAAGGGTAAAAAATACGTTGTTAACAATAACATATGATAAAACTATTAAATTAAATAAATCTTCAGGCTACAGGTGCATGTGCATTGGTATTTCACTGCCCCATTCCCAGGTGAGAACAACACCGAAAGCAAGCAATAAATTCCAGTCAGGCTCTTTGCAGCCTGTGCATACAGCTGATGATTACACATATACACTCAGTTGGCAGTTTATTAGGAACGCCTAGCTAAAACTAATACAACAGTCCTGCAGTTTTAATATTAATTATTGTAGCGAGTTGTTGATTCAACTGTATGATCATGTTGGAGGATGTGGTGTATGTTGCTGTGGAGCTGTGTTACATTACAACATAAGCTCTACAGGAGCTGCACCGAACACAGAAAACAAACGATACGTCGCTAGGTAACGCAGTAGTTGTTGAAGCCGTACATTGTTGCACACACCTGTCTGAATCTCCTGCACCTCAAAGTCCTCCACAATCTGCCCTAAATCCAGCCTCTCTGCTAGCACTCGGTGCAACATATAACCGGTCCGCTCAGCCTCTCTGGTCTCACTGCGTGAATGAGCTCTGCAGTCACAACAGGACTCATCAGAAACAGCGGGAAGGTTTTGCATAACCTCACTGACAGTAGAAGTGAAGACAGAAATCACAACTGAAGGATCCACTGTCAGTATTTTAGCATGCACCTGTTGGTCACGCAACATGGCAGGTGTGTTT